AGCTGCTTTATATGTGAGAAAAAAATCCCAGTGTTTATCGGTAGGTGAATGGATGGATAAATGAAACATAGTTATCCATACAATGGAATGCTTTTAACGATAAAAAGAAGAAATTGTTGATATACAATCCTCCTCCTCCAGCATATGGATGAGGCTGTAGTTCAGGATCAGCTATATAATCTATGAGAACCCCATGGAAAATAAAGATGTTGGTCCCCTTGTTGAAAAATTAAGCATTTTAGGGGGCAGGCAACCATCTAGACATGGCCTAGGAGACCCACATCCATTTCAGAGTGTCAAGGTTTGAATTGTGGCTCTGTTCCAAATCTGGCTTTCTGATAATGAACACCCTGGGAGGCAGGAGATGATGGTTCAGGGACTGGGGTCCTGGCCATCCTCATGAGAGACCTGGATAGATTTATGAATTACTGGTTTTGGCTTGACCCAGTTCCAGCTATTGTGGGCATTTGCAGAGTAGCGGATGGAAACTGCCTGTCTCAGTCTCTCTTTCTCTCTCCTTCCCTTTCAAATAAGTGAAAATAAACAAAAATTTATTTAAAAACAAAAAACAAAAAGAATCTCCAAAAAGTGAATACAGAGCATCAAACTAAGTGTACAACCTTCTAAGCTCCAAGACTCTGTGTGACAACATCGGTCTCATGCCCATGAAGCAGGGCCTGAGCGACATGATTACCCTGAAAGAAGCCAAGTGAAGAGAGTACATAAATGATGAATTGATTTAAATGAAATTCTTGAAAAATGCAAGTTGTTCTGTAGTGACAGAGAACAGATCAGTGGTTGCCTTGGGATGGTATGTAGGCAGGATGTGCCAGGACACCAGCTCTTTCTTGCCAAAATATATACCTGCATATTCACCAATATCCACACATTAGACTTTGGCACTTCAACAGAAGGATTCCTGTGTCTAATTAAAAAAAATAGATTTATTTATTTTGACTGAAAAGGCACATCACATTTACAAGGAGAAGCAGAGACAGAAAGATCTTCCATCTGCTTGTTCACTCCCCAAATGGTCTCAACAGCAAGAGCTGAGTCCATCAGATCCAATCCAAAGCTAGAAACCAGGGCTGAGCTTCTTCTGGCTCTCCCACACAGGCACAGGGTCCCAAACTTTGGTCTTCCTCTACTGTCTTTCCAAGCCGTCAATAGAGAGCTGGTTGGGGAGTGGAGCAGCTGGGATACAACCAGCACCCATCTGAGATCCCGGTACTTGCCAGGCAAGGATTTAATCACTGAGCCATTGCACCAGGCCCCCATGTCTACTTTCAAGGCACTTGTTTTAGTGCAGGGCTTTAAGCCACGGTTTACAATGCCTGCAATCCACATTAGAGTGAGAGTTCAAGTCCTGGCGATTCTGTTTCCCATCTAGCATCCTGAGAGGCAGCTGGCATCCTGCTAGTGCGTCTTGAACAGAGATGACAGATCCAGTATTTGGGTCCAAGTCAGGCAGTGGAGAGTTTGAGATGGATTTCCTAGCTCTTCACTTCAGCTTGGCCTATTCCTGCCTGATGAAAGCATGTAGGGAATGAACCAACAGGTAGACAATCTTCTGTCAAATTTTCAAGTAGATTAAAAATAAGCAACCTTAAAAAAAAAGAGTCTGTTCTACCTAAATATAACTTCAGTCCCAGGTTCCTTTGGTCTTTATCTTAATTACTCTAGCTTTTCTTTTTTTATAGTTCATTAAAAAACATTCATATGGGCCCGGCATGATAGCATAGTGGTTAAAGTCCTTTCCTTGAACGCGCCAGGATCCCATATGGGCACCGGTTCTAATCCTGGCAGCTTCACTTCCCATCCAGCTCCCTGCTTGTGGCCTGGGAAAGCAGTCTAGGATGGCCCAAAGCCTTGGGACCTGCACCCGTATGGGAGACCTGGAACAGCCATTGCAGCCGCTTGAGGAGTGAACCATTGGAAGGAAGATCTTCCTCTCAGTCTCTCCTCCTCTCTGTATATCTGATTTTCCAATATAAATAAATAAACATTTAAAAAACAAACAAACAAAAAGCCAATTATATGATATGTATTTCTTTTGGTCTGGCTTCTTTCAGTCATCATAAAATTTGTGACATTTTTTCATATTGCACATATAATAGTTTACTCCTCGTATTTGCTGAGTAATATTTCATTATACAAATATCTTACAAATTTGTCCATCATGTGTTGATGGATTCATGAGTTAATTTTAATTTTAGTTTGTGGTTACAATGACTAAAGCTGCTATGAATATTTGTGTCCAACTCTTTGAGTGACATGTATTTTCATTTCTCTTCTTTAAATAATAAGAATGAAATTTCTGGATCTATTAGCAAGTAAGTGGTTGATGATCTTAAGAAACTATCAAATTGTTTTCCAAAGTAGTATCCTCTTTAATGTTGTATTGTTGTACCCAGATTTTGAGATCCCCAGAAATCATCAGGAGTCTGGAGTTGATGCTAATGCATAAGGGCGGTTTATTCAGACTATCCTGAGCTCTCAGTGGTCACCCCAGCCCAGCGGGACTGGGCAAGCAGCTGCAGCTAAAGCAACATCAGCAGTATGAGAATGCCAACACATCTTTGTTAACATTTCAAAAATATTAATGACTTTAGCAGTGGTGTAGTGATTATTATCTCATTGTAGGTTTAATTGGCATTTTCTAATGACTAGCAGTACTTTTTGCATTGGCTTCTGTGTGAAATGGCTATTAACAGTTTTCACTCATTAATAAGTTAGATTGCTTTATTGAGTTGCAAGGATTCATTATATATTCTGTGTATACAAGGTCCTTTCAGATACCTAGATCATGAATATTTTCACTTTGTAAATGTTGTTTTAGGAAGAGCAGACTGACATTTTGATGCTCAATCTGCCTTTTCTTTTTAGATCAGTGTTTTTTGGTACCTGAGAGAACACTTTCCTCAAGGGAGCAAGGATTCTACTGTGTTTTCTTATGGAATTTTTATGGTTTCAGCTTTATACTTAGGTTTATGATCCATTGCAAGTTAATTTGTCTGTGTTGTGTGGTATGGGCCAAGATTCATTTCTTACATGAAATTCAGTTGTTCCATTTAGTAAAAAGTATTACATTTATTGCATTAAATTACTTTAGCTTCTTACTAAAAATCATTCTGTACATATAAATTCATATCTAGATTAGTTTCATACTACCATGCTGCCTGGAAAACTTTTTACAGTAAGTTTTATGTGCTCCAACTTTGTTCTTCCCATGCATTTCCAGCTAAGTATTTACATTACCTTGCCAAGTAAAAATAAACAAATTCTGTCAGGACAACTTCTGTCAGTGACAACTTCCAGTCCAAGAACATGGACTAGTTAGGTATTTCATTTCTCCCAACAGGTATTTTTATGTTAAGCAACGATTTAGAATTTTACTCTACAGTTCTTGTTAAGCTTATCTGTATAGACTTTGTTTCATATATAAATTTTGCTTTGGAAGCTGATGAACGTTGTTTAATCATATAATTATTCAAAATTCCATTTTCTAATTATTCTTGGTTAATATTGAGAACAACAGATTTTGTTTTACATTGCAATTAGCTCCAGGAGTGTTTTCTTTACACTTCTTCAGGATTACCAGGATTTTCTAGTTATGCGATGCTGTCATTTGCAAATAGTTTTATTTCTTTTTTTTCACTTCAGTGTCTTTTTAGGAATCCATAGTTTCCGTCAAGTTGGTGCAATCTTTACCTATTACATCTTTCCCTGACAATCCTGTGTGCCCCTTACCCCCCTTCTCTTCTTTCCTCACGAGCATGTCTTCCTTGAGGACTTCTGAATCCCGCGGGGTGTGGGGGGGCATGGTGTCTCCTGGGCGCGATTCCCAGAGCTAAGACGGGGCAGACTGGGCCTTGTTCCTCCTCTTTGGTGCATTTAATGGGTGGTGTCCTTTACGCCACACCCCCAGGGGCTCCTGAGCTGCCGACCGGGGCTGCCGGGGCTGGGCTCGGGATCCGGAGAACTACCTAACGCGCCAAGTTTCCTTCTGGGAATTTAGTGAAGAGAGATCGTGGTGGCCGGCATGGTGGTTACTATAGCACGCTGGCTTAGTGTGATAGTTTCAGGCCTGTCCTCATTTTTATGGATACTTTCACTTAAATCTTCCATCAGTCCTACAAAGGGGGCTGTAAGAAAAACGACTTCCTGAAGAAACCAGGGCTGGGAGAAGTTGCCCCAGTTCACTCTGCTTATGAGACAGGTGGAGTCGGGGACTTGGGAGTTGGGTTTCAGTAACCTGACTCCGGAGCCTGCCTGCTTCACCGCACGCTCAGGAGACAGCGCTGTTCGCAGGAGGCGCGGACACTGACTAGACGACAGGAACAGCCGATAAGGAGGCCAGTTCAGACAGGGCTCCCTCCGGCCCTCGGACTTGGGGACCTACACTGTCTCCAACAGCGCTTCCTTGTCGCCCGGCCCCGTCCTTTTTCCTCCAGCGCCCTGACCAACCCTCCGCTCCTCGCAGCACTGCTCTGAAATCAAGGCTAGCAGGGCAGAAACTGCAGAAATGCAGGCGCGTGGGAAAACCTTGGCTCTACTGGCTCATCCCCTCACCGCCCGCCCCCCAATCCCCGCAAGTTCTCAAGAACAAGTCTTCGGAGGGATGATCTTGCCACCTTGCTCCTCCACCCAAAAGCCTACTTTCCCCACGCCTGAATCCGACAGGACCACACACACCCCACCACACCAAGTTCAGGCGCACGAGCTGAGGCGCACTTTTCCGGGCGCACACCGCCGTCTGGGCGTCTCTCTAGGAAAACGTCCCCCAGCTACTAGCTAACGTGCAGGGGGATTCTTTTTTTCACCCCCATGGGAGTGAAAACCATAGCACCTTCTACAAATCCTCACCAGAGACGCCCTGCCCAGAGCCCGGGTGCCCAATGGGCGGCCGGACAGTCCCTCGGCGGCGCTCCCGAGAGGCGGGGGAGGTCCGGGCCCGCTCCTCCCTCTCCTCCCCCTCGCGGCGGCCGGGCCACCGGAGCAGAGTCCCCCTGCACGCGGCACATGGGGCGGCTGACCGAGGCGGCGGCCACGGGCGGCGGCGCTGCAGCGGCGCACGCGGCGAGCCTCCCTCCCACTCCCCTGGCCCTCTCGTCCACGTCCCCCGGGTGCGTGGCCACCATGGCGTCCAGCGAGGAGGACGGCACCAACGGCGGCGCCTCGGAGGCCAGCGAGGAGAAGGAGGCCACCGGCAAGAGGAGGCGCCGTGGCTGGTTGGCCACCGTCTGGCTCACCTTCTACAACATCGCCATGACCGCGGGGTACGTGCGCCCCTGCAGTCCCTCGCCCCTTGCCTCCCGGCCTTCCCACGCTACTGGGCCCTGACCTTATAGCGGGACTCGGGGGGCCGGGCGGGCGGATGGGGAGCTCTGGGCGCCGAGGGGCGAGCCGGGCGGCCCCGGGGTGGTCGCGGCCAGGGGTGCGGCCCCGGGGCGCGGGCGGCCGCTGTGGGGGAGGGGCGCCCTGCGGTCACGGCTGCCCGGTTGAATGGAGCGGGGCGGGGGCGGGAGGAGCCGGGGCTCTGCTCGCCGGGCATTGCCTAATACGGTGCATGGCGTGGCCCAGCGGCCGCGGGGCACGGGCCGGAGGTTAAGTATAGACCGGGGCAGGAATGCGGGGCGACCCGAGGCGGCTGCGGCGAGGCCGCCCCCGGGTGCCTCTGCCTCCTCCGGCTGCTGCAGAAGAAGCGGCTGCTGCAGAAGAAGCGCCTGGGTCTGGCCACCCCGAGTCCGGAGCTCATTTCCTGGGCACTTTCTCATGTTGGAGATCCGCAGGCAAAGTTTTATTAAGTCTTCATTTTGTCGCGACTTATTTATTTTTTAAGAAAGCACAATCCTAGAGTATCTTGATTGGGTCTCTAAACAAAAAATAAAACCTCTACCCCATGGAAATCTGGCAGTCGTGTCCAGCATCTTTATGGCCTCATGCTTCATTACTGAATGCCTGTACTTGGGTTTCTGGCTGCGAGCGTGACTTCCAAGTTAAGGTTACACAGGGCTCAAGCTCTTCAAAGTGCTGTCAGAGTGACTCCTGGTCGACTGCTTTTCAAAATGGATTGAGAAGAGGATTTTTCCTGCACTGCGTTGCCTTTCCCTCCTCTCATGATGGCACACCATAGTCTATAAACAGAGGGGAAGCTCCAGCTTTCTTTTTGGTTTAGTTTATTGACAAGGATTTTAAGCGGTTGGATATGGTGGTGAGTAAGTGTTAGTTACCGCGGGCGTATGGTGCTGTCACATGGGGTAGCATGCAGTGTTACAAAGGGTTTGCTGTGTGCCAGGCACGGTGCTGGTTCTTCCAGCTGTGTTATCTCAGTTTTAGTGCTCTGTAGTTCAGTGAGGGCTGTGTCATGTTGTGGATAGCTGGGGAAACTGAGGCAGAGAAACATGGTGTCACTTAGTGCAGATCACAGCCAGCCCGTGACCAGGATGGATTCCGTTCAGACGCTCTGGACTGCAGGGCTGTGCTGCTACTTCCTTTTCTGGCTTTCCGGTTTTGTGATTGCCTGTGCTGGCTGCCTTTAGATGATAGTTGGGTTGAAAGAATTCTCAGTGACAGTCTCATCCAGTGAGTTTCATCCAGTGAAGAAACATTTTTGAAGCCCTGACCATATATTAACTGGTTAGCTGTCTTTTTCCAAGTCTACTGTTCATTCTTTATTAAAAAAAAGGATTTACTTATTTTTATTAGAAAGGCAGATTTTACAGAGGCAAGGAGAGACAGAGAGAAGGATCTCCTGTTGGCTGGTTCACTCTGCAAGTGGCTGCAATGGCCTGAGCTGAGCCAATCTGAAGCCAGGAGATTCTTCCAGGTCTCCCACGTGGGTGCTGCGTCCCAAGGCTTTGGGCTGTCCTCGACTACTTTCCAAGGCCACAAGCAAGAGAGCTGGATGGGAAGTAGAGCAGCTGGCAGATGAACCAGTACCATATGAGATCCTGGCACGTGCAAGGTGAGGGTATAGGTACTGAGCCATCTCCCTGGGTCTCACTGTCCATTTTTAAAACCAAGTTACCATTGAATGAAAACCAGTGCATAATTCCAGGTTCAGACCTTTGCTGACTCCCTGTCACCTCCACTCTAATCTAAGGTGACACAGATGACTGAAGATTGTCCTATGCTCTCTGAATCTGCTTTCTGGTTGTATCACGTTTGAAATCTCCAATTTGGGGCCTGGAAGCATGGCCTAGTGGCCAAAGTCCTCGCCTTGAACGTGCCAGGATCCCATATGGGTGCTGGTTCTAATCCTGGCAGCTCGACTTCCCATCCAGCTCCCTGCCTGTGGCCTGGGAAAGCAGCCAAGGACGGCCCAAAGTCTTGGGACCCTGCACCCGTGTGGGAGACCTGGAAGAAGTTCCTGGCTCCTGGCTTTGAATCGGCATAGCATCGGCCATTGTGCTCACTTGGGGAGTGAATCATCGGACGGAAGATCTTCCTCTCTCTCTCTCCTCCTCTTTGTCTCTCCTCCTCTCTGTATATCTGACTTTCCAATAAATAAATAAATCTTAAAAAAAAAAAGAAAGAAAACAACAAAATGGTATTTAACAATTATCATGAATGTTTACCTATATGTAAAAGAGGACCTGATTGTGTAAGCCTAACAAAACCTTTCTCTTGTTTTCATATTTAAGCATCTTCAGGTTACAATAAAATCTCCATTCTTAGGAAGGCTTTTTCCTGGGCTTCTTCCTTCCAATATGTCCCAGTTCTAACATTCCTTCTTGCCCCTAGCTGTTTGCGTTTCCCCCAGTTCCCTGTATGCTGTATCTTACTAATTCATCATTGCTTACTGTCATCCCCATCAGAATATATAAATTCCATGAAGCACTCAGTAAATGTTTATTGAAAGAATGAATGAATGCTACTCCAAAGAATTGTTACAGTATCTACACATTTGTATTCCCTGTTTTCTATCTTCAATTACTGTCCTACCAAGTATTTCTGTATAGTTTTCATGATTATGCCTAAGGGTATGTAGTGATTATGTATAATAATGGATTAAACGATGTTCCCCATGACATTTGACTTTCATTTGCTAATGAAATCGCAGGAATAGAATTACACTATTAGACGATCTAAGAATTTTTACAAAACTTGCTCATCATTGGTTCTCAACCAGGACAGTGAGAACTTTTCCTTCTGTTTTTGCTTACCAGCTCGAGCCCATATGTGTAAACACATGGTCCTGTACGAAGTGAGGGAGGTAAAGCAAATGTCCTAGGCTCGTCCTTGAAGAGGTGTAAGCTGGGACATTTATATAAAAATGCAGGGAAAGAATGCCCAGCAGAGGAGTCAGAACGGATCGGTAAGGGGAATCAGTGGAAGGTTTGTGGAGGAGCTACGAGCGGTTAAGCTGAGCTCTGACTGAACAGACCAGCAGGAGGGAACAGCATGAGTTAGGGTGCCAGTGTGGGAAATTGCTGCACATCCACAGAGGCAACAAGAAATGAGCCTGAATGTAGAGCAGGGTGCGGGTGGGGTAGGCAGGCAGCAGGGTCCGCTCGCAGAACCTAGGAAGGCACTGCTGCAAGGCTGCCTCAGTTCTCTGTGCCTTACAAGGAGGCAAGCCTTTCTAACCTTGGTTTTCTCATCTGTGAAATTGAAGGGCAGCAGCTACTTGGTGGAATTATTACAGGGAATAAAAAGGTAACATAACGTTCTTGGCAGGGTGCCTGATGTGCATGGACATGTAAGAATGTTAATTCCTCTCCCAGGTGATTCATGTAAAATTCTGCATCATGCAGAAAGAGAAACCCTGGAAAGTTATTTTCACCTTGTAGATCATTTGACTCAGAAGTGTTGGAAATCCAAGAATTTTTTCCTCCAGAATGTTAAGTAAAAGCCAAGTCTTTTGATGCCTGTAGGATGTGTTGTATTGTTGAAGAGAGATTCGCTAACCTGCCACAATTTGTCCATTCACCTGTGACAGACATTCAGATTCTTCAGTTTTTGGCTCTTCAAAGTGAAACACTGACAAGTGCTTCGATTTATCTTGGTTAAAGCTCTACAATGGAGTGGCTGGGTCTTCTAGTAGTCTTACATTTAACTTCTTAAGACACTGCTAAATTGGGGTAAGTGCTGTGTATGGCTCAATAAGCTAATCCTTCCACTTGAAGTGCTGGCATCCATTTGGGCACTGGTTCGTGTCCCAGCTGCTCCACTTCCCATCCAGGTCCCTACTTGTGGCCTGGGATTACAATTGAGGATGGTCCAAAGCCTTGGGACCCTGCATCCATGTGAGAGAGCTGAAACAGACTGCTGGCTCTGAATGGGTCTGAATGGGCTCAGCTCTGGCTGTTGTGGCCACTTGTTGTGGAGTGAACCAGCAGATGGAAGATCTTTCTTTCCTTCTCTCTGTGAATCTGCCTTTGCAACAAAAGTAAATGAATCTTAGAGGAAAAAAAAAAAAAAGAAAAAGAAAAAGGTACTGCTAAGCTATTTTTCAAATTGGTTGTGCCATTTTCCCTAACTTCCGGCTTGCAGTTGTGGCATATTCGCGCCAGCACTTGGTAAGGCCAGTCATTGTAGCCATAGACATTTCGGTAAATGTATTGTGTTGCCTTACTGTAATTTTAATTTTCATTTCCATAGTGACTAAACATACTGAATGTTTCTTTGTCTGCTCGCCTGCCACTTGCATATCTTCTTTGCCCATTTTTCTCCCCTTGAATGAGTTATTTCCTATGATTGAGTTTTGAAAGTTCTTTTTACAGTCTGGATACATGTTCTTCACCTGCTACGTGATTTACAAATATTTTCCCCCAACTGTGGCCTGGCTTTTTCTTCTCTTTAGTAGTTTATGTTTTATTTGCTTTAACAGTGCTGCTCACATGGTCTTAATCTGAATGAAGTCAAGTTTATCAAACTTGTTTTTAAAAGATATGTGTATATATTTTTGAAAGATAGAGTGACAGAATAGGAGAGATATCTTTATCTACAGGTTTATTTCCCAAATATTTACAGTAACCAAGGGGCTGACTTAGACTGAAATCAGGATCCCAAAACTCAACCTGGGTTTCCCACGTGGGTGGTAGAAACCTTGGTCCTGGGATTTCATTCACTGCCTCCCGAGGGGATTAGCAGGAAGCGGTGTCAGAGCAGGGTGGCCAGGACCCCTACCAGGACTTCTGAACAGGGCTGTGGGCATCTCTACATAAGGCAACCCCATAAGGCAGTTAAGAATAGAAGCCTTGATTATTGATTGACATGAATGCCTGTGTGCAGGCAGTTGAAATACTCAGGTTGGTTGCTAAGTAATAGTGAAGTTTAGTCTAGGAAAGGCAGGTTAGAGTGGTACCGAACAACATAGGGAAATAATGAGTGTGAGTCACAAATCAACTATTACACAGCCTCCAAATGGTTACTTTGAAGGACATTTAGAGAGGAAATGACATGTTGAGGTATCATCATTTTTTATAGCTGTTGAAATACTGGATCTAAGCAATTTTCAGTGGCTATCGCATCTCAGAAAACAGGGCTAGGCAGCAGTTAAATGCTCCTTGTGGAGGTGTATTCCATACAACTCATGAATTAAACTTACCAGAACATCAGATGTGAATCCAGAATTAACCATCAGTTGACAGAAAATACAGGGGAAGCATGTCATGAATGACATGTGCGTATCAAGTTAGCAAAATTGAGACAGCTTTATAGAATAAACGACCAACTGTCTTCAGACAAACTTTCAAACCAAGAAGGGGGGGAGGGGGAAGGGAAAGAAGGAGGAAAAAAGCTAGATTAAGAGTCACAGAAAGACATGTCAGCTGATTAGAATGAGTGAATTGTATTTCAGTGGTGATTTTAAAAATATCAAGACAGTTGAGGAAAATTGTATGCTGGTGTTATCTCTTGTGACACTAAAAGCTCATTATTTACATGGGACAATAGTATTATAGTTATTTTTATTTAAACATCTTTCTAGAGAAACATAATGAAACATTTGTGACATAGTTTTTGTGGCATTTGATTCAAAGTCATCTGGGGACAGAGGCATTTCGGAAACAAGGGTGTCCCTGGGATGGCAGCTGTGGAAGGTAGGTCATGCATTTGTGGGAGTTCGTTATGCCACTCTCCGTGTCTTTGCAAATGTCTGAAATCTCTTAAAAGTTAACAAAGCATATTGAATTTAAAAAAATACATGTAGGTGTGGGTAAGCTGATTCTTCAATGGGACGGACGGGTGAACTCCAAGAAATTGTTAGGAAAAAAGGATGTCTGGAAGACAGAAGATAAGAGATTTTCCTTCTGTAAGGCTTTTTATTGTCACTGTAGAAATATTGAGAAGTCCCCTGTGCTCAGAAATTTATGACATCTAGTGTCTTGTTATAGCACAACTTTGTCTCCATTTACTCGTGTAATATTTCTGGGGGCAGAAACTATGTCCTGTTTTTCCCTAATTCCATAACATTTTGGCTCAGTTTTTGGCTGAGAAAACATGTTGAAACTGAAGATAAATGAGCGAAGAAATGAGTTGAGGAAAAAGTCTTCTACATACAGAACATGTGTTCCAGTTGCTTCTCCCAGTGAGTCTAGTTTGTCGTGCAAGGGGTTGAGGATATTTACTTGGGATCATTTAATCAGCAGCCCTGCTATGTTATTAAAAACAAAACAGGACATTCCAGAAAAGAATGCCTAATTGTAGATGTTCCAATTACTTTTGAATTTTTAAATTAAATTAAATTTTTTTTAGCTCCAAGTGCTAAACTTAGTGGTGGAGAATGTCCAAAGTTAATGAAATGTAGGGAAGTTTCGTCCGTACCCTCTAGTATTGGTAGACTTAAGAAGTGAGCTCTGATTACTTGTGATGAATTTCTGGCCACCTTTACAGAAAAATAAATGATAGGACAGCAATCTTTTTGAACCTCAGAGTGTGTGTTCTTTCATTCTGACGGTTTAGTGATTGGTATTGTGGAACTATACTAGTTGGTGCAATACTGCCACCTATGGAGCAGCAATGCAATTTACAATATGATGTGTTGGAGTTTCTGGATGAATCCGTTGATCAGTTCCTTAGAAGGTTGTTAGTTGCTTCTCAAATTTCTCTTTTTGTAGATGTTTGACTTGGATTTGCTTTAAAAAGCAGACAACTGTATGGAAAAATGTGGATGAAACATTAAGCTTTTTGTTATCTTAGTAGAAGTCTAGAGACTTGGATTGAGGTTAATAAATCACATCTGAAGCCTACAAAATAATTCAGATTAGCCTGTCCATGAATGCAGGGCTGGCTTTCACGCAGCAAAACCAGCAGTTGAATCAATGTAACTGTAGTGAGCTGGAAGGAGCACAGGTCTGGGAGTGTGGAGGTCTCACAAGTTCTGTTTCAGGTCATAAGAAATCACTCATTCCTTTATAGGATTCTGTTAAGTTATCTGCCCATTGTATGAGTTGCTCACTTTAAAAGTTGAAGCTGGGGCCTGGTGCAGTAGCCTAGTGGCATAGTGCCTCATCTTGCACATCTGGGATCCCATATGGGTGCCAGTTTGTGTTCTAGTGGCCCCACTTCCCATCCAACTCTGCTTGTGGCCTGGCAAAGCAGTTGAGGACAGCCCAAAGCCTTGCGACCTGGACCCACATGGGAAACCTGGAAGAGTTCCTGGCTTCTGGTTTTGGATCATCTCAGCTCCGGCCGTTGCAGCCACATGGAAAGTGAATCATCTCTCTGTCTCTCCTTCTGTCTGTAAAAATCTGACTTTCCAATAAAAATAAATAAATCTTTTTTTAAAAAGTTAAAACTGAAGATTAACTTTGTTATTCATGAGCCTGTTTAGCTAGACACTTTTGACACCTCTAATCCAGAAGGCCTGTGTATAAGCACTTTTTTTCTGTGTATTTTAAAATTCAAAGCTGAAGCATGTTTCTGAAAATGTGCTTTTCCAATTGCCAAAGAAGCTGGGAAAATATTACCTCTCAGAAAGGACTCTAAGAGGAGTGTAGTGTAGTGTGTGAAAGCTGGTCTCCACAAGCGCAGCTAGTATTGTAGGCACTCTTAACCCACGGAACAGAATCTGCATTTAATATACAGAACTAGGTTGTAGAGTGAGGGGCTGGCCCAGGTCTCCTCTTCTGTGTGTACCCCTTCTGTAGGTATAGCTGTTGTTTTTCTTTAGTGAAGATTAAGTTAGTGTAAATGGATGATTCTCCGTAATGATTTCTATCGTATAGCTACATGAAATTCCACTTACTTGTCTACACACATACAGCGTTGACAGCTTTCTTAACCTCAAGATACCTTTTTATGATTATTAAATGCTTTTAGATAGATTTGTGTACATAAAAGTGATTCTTCAGTTTGTCAGTTTATTTGCTGAAACCAGCAGTGCAATGGATATTTCCATATGGAGTGGGTCTTTTATATTCTGTTCCTCCTTGGGAGTCAACACAAAAATGCCATTTGTTGCCTTTTTTCCTCTCTAGGCACTGCAATCATAGAATAGCGAACCAAAAACATAACAGGACATTAGTATTGGTATGCAAATGGCAGCATTTGTTTTACAATCTCGGTCGTTTTGAAATCGTGATGACATATGCTGTATTGTCTGCTTTGCTGAAGTGTACAGGCCAATGTCTTTAGGTGCGTTCACACCCTTGTGCGCTGTCACATCGACCCTGCGCAGCCCTATAGCTTATCTTCCAAAGCTGAAATTTCCTCCCTGCTCGTGTGTCTCATCGCTTGTAACACTCTCCTTTCATTTCTTGAGTTGAGGTCTGTCCCCATTAAGCTTTGACTCCCCACCGCACCCTCACCCTCTGCATCCAGGCCTCTCTAAGCTGTCCTTCTCTCTGTCTCTGTGAACTTGACCGTTGTAGGGACTACAGAAGTGAAGCGATGCAGGGTTCATCCTGTTGTGCTTGGCTTATCTCACTGAGCATGGTGCCTTCCAGGTTCATCCACGTTGTAGCTGGGGCCAGAATTTCCTCTGTATACATCCCGCAGTCTGTTGAGCCACACTCAGTCACCGAGGGGCTTCTGGCTTTCAGCGACTGTGACTAGTGCTGCTATAATGTGCAGATTGGTGGCATTCCATGGACAGAAGTTTATAAAATATTTTCGTTTTCGTAGGTGGTTGGTTCTAGCAATTGCCATGGTACGCTTTTATATGGAAAAAGGAACACACAGAGGTTTATATAAAAGTATCCAGAAAACACTTAAATTTTTCCAGACTTTTGCCTTGCTTGAGGTAAGTTTTTTAATCGTGTTGTATTTCTATACTGTAATATCTGTGTGAAAATTTTTGTGTTGAACCTAATCAATCTTATCTTTCTAATTACAAACCTCCTCTAGACTTGTTAAATGTAAATGCTGACAAGGATAAGTCTTACGTTTCATATTATTGATTTGAGTTTTTTTATTTGCTTACAGATAGTCCACTGTTTAATTGGTGAGTTTTGCTTTAATTTTAATTTTTATAATAAATTGCCTCTAGGGCAATGGTTGACTTGTTTTTCTCTTTAAGGAATCGTACCCACTTCTGTGCTTGTGACTGGGGTCCAAGTGAGTTCAAGAATCTTCATGGTGTGGCTCATCACGCACAGTATAAAAGCGGTAAGTGGTACAGGTGGTACAGGTGGTACAGGTGGTACAGGTGGTACAGATGGCTCTGTCCTCCTGAGCCTGCAGGAAAGGCCTTCGTTCACAGGAACCTACACGTGAGCATGTACTCCTGAGCTTTTGATTAGACAGCAAAGGAGTTGGGTTTGAACGTAAGTGCACTTGTTTTTTGATTTAGTATTTGAGCACGATGCTGTTGAAATAAAGGCAGAATCAAATACTGTCGTTTCGTGTTCACAGTATCCTCTGATGTGGACTTATTCTGCCAAGTGACTGAAAACTTTTTTTCTGCAGAAGTGTTACTCAAAATTATTCTCATAGATCATGTATTTGAAGTTGTCAGTTTGTTTTTCCTCACTTGCCATGGAGTTTTGTAGCAGTGGACATAAAAGGTCAGTGTAGTTGGAGAGAATAACTGATACAGATAGAATTGAAAGTTAGGAGATCAAAGGAACATGGTTTCAGTGAGGCAGAATAGGCTCTTGGATAGCAACAGGTAAGTTCAGGAGCTCCACTGGACAACGGGACTGTAGTTAACAGCAGTATATCGTGTGCTAAGAGATTAGATGTTAAGTGTTCTTACCACAAGTAAGTGTATGAGGCGCGGCTTGACTTAGCCAGTCCACAATTGTGATCAGAACAGTAGATTGCACAAAGTATGTATGATTGTAATTGGCCACTTAAAAATATTTTTTGAAAGGGCTAACGTAATTGGAGGAAAGTGAACATTGATGATTGAGGCATGATGGACGATGGATCTAATGATCAAGTCTAATCAATAGCTTAAACCTTTCAGGCACAGTGCACACCATGCTGACTGTGTGTTTTATGCCCAGGACAGAAGTATTCTCCCATCTGTCCTCTGAGCTCCCAGGCAGCCCTCGGAGCCCCGTGCACTTGAGGACCGGACTCTGGCCTCCGGCACGTTCCTAGGTGCCTCTCCTGTGTGCTTTAGGATCAACATTGAGCCTCTCAGTTTCCTGTTCGCCTCCCTAAGCTCCTTTCTGCATACAGATCCTTGGCCTTCTGCCCTTTTTCTACTCTACATTTTAGCCCTCTTAGCTAGTGTCTTGGTCTACCTGGTCCCTGACAGAGAGCAGTAAGCAGATAGAGAGCCAAACTGTGTATTAATTATAGTTACTTTCTAGTGTAAAAGCAGGAATACAAAACCAATAGAATTACGGTCTATGTTTGTCAGTGAGTGAGTGTAGAAGCGGGGCCAGGACCACAAGGATTCTTAAGAATGAAGGTGAAGAAACACAAGACAGAGTGGTAAACATTGCTTGGACCTTAAAGAGAAATTACAGTGTGACAAATGCCAAGGAGAACATGATCCATTTTGATAGTTTTCTCCTCTTTCTGATCTCTGCCTGAATATTACTGCCAGTTTTCCTCCAATGGTAGGTTTCCTTTGGCACCTGTCTGCCACTCCATAATTAATTCAAGCAACATTTTGATTTATTTAAAATTTTGTTAGCTATCATTTTTTCCTTGAAAGTTAGAAAAAGGCAGAGATAGATCTTACATCCACTGGTTCACTGCCAAAATGTGTGCAACAGCCAGAGCTGGACCAGGTTGGAGCCAGGAGCTGGGAACTCAGTGTCTGTGCAGGTGGCAGGAACTCAAGTACTTGAGCCACCACCTACTACCTCCCTGGGTGTTCATTAACAGACAGCTAGAGTCAGAAGCAGAGCCAGGACTTAAACTCAGGCACTCGCATATGAGGTGCCTATGCCTCAAGCAGAATTCTAAGTACTGCAATGAATCCCTTCCTCAACATTTATTGAACACGTCCTGTACCTTTAGCACTCTTCACAGTTTTGAATTTACAAATGGAATCCTGTAATTGCAGCTTAGTAAGTGGGGACTTGTCATATTGAGCAGATGTTAACTGGGTATATGTTCTGCTCCTGTACTGTTAACGCTAGGAATCTGACTGCTAATGACACACACAGGGTTCTCACATTGTGAAGTCTAGAACTGAGAGAAGGAAATGAGTAGTGATACAGATCCCTAGGAGGGCATAGCAGCAGCAAGTGCTTTGAAACAAAAGCCCAGTGTACGTTGCAATGCTGTCAGGGACTTGGTCTGAACATTAGGAGTGACAGAAGGCTTCCCCAAAGGAAGGGTATTATCTACTGCACAGCAGTTAGCCGAACTGTGATGCAAGCCAGCAAGGTCGGGCCATGCAGATGTGGACGGAGCAATTGGAGCACTGTGAGGAGAAGGGAGGTGAGCAAGTGACTGCTCCAGGGCTAGAAGGGAGCCTTGGGACAAGCTTTGCCCGGATGTGTTTGTATTCACCCTTTATGTTCACAGGCAGTGGGGAACCAGCGAAACTGATTCCAGTGTGCTGTGTGTTCCAGTGTGAATGTTAGTGTTAGAACAGGTATGATGCAGTGCCTAATACGAAATAGGACAGTCAGACTCCAGGTTGTCCTCAGAGGGCGTGATCATGTGATGGTGGACTTACTAGCTGGAATGGAACTTGAAGGAAGAAAACATTCTATATTTGACTGATTCTGTGCTTCGGACATCCTTAAGTTTCCTGACTGTAATTATGCAATAGTGACCGCATTGTTTTCTGTATTGCATTTTGCTTAATTTGAACATTCTGTTATATTAAAAGATAATACATGATAAAAAGAAATATTGTCATTGACACTTGAGCTCGAGGTTGAAGACCATTGTGGATGTTTCTGTAATTCCGCAGATCCAGAATGAGGAGAGTGTGGTGCTTTTTCTGGTCTCGTGGACTGTGACAGAGATCACTCGCTATTCCTTCTACACATTCAGTCTTCTCGACCACTTGCCATACTTCATTAAATGGGCCAGGTGGCAGTGTCTTGCAGTTTAGTGTCTCACTGTGTTGTGCATGCCTGTGCGTGTGCTGAGTTGACACCCAACTGAAACTGCTTCAGCCTTATGATGTCAGACTGCTGTGTTGTTTTGCATATTAACACTATTGTAATTTGTATCCTGAAATCTTAATCGAATGATTGGAGGCGAATCCTATTAATACAGTATTTTGACTGAAACCAGTACACAGCTAAAGGTAGGAATATCCTCAACTTAAGAAGTTGAGCATTCACTTTTTTTTTTTTTAAGATTTATTTGTTTTTATTGCAAAGTCAGATATAAAGAGAGGAGAGAGAGAGGAAAATCTTCTGTCCGATGACTCACTCTCCAAGTGAGCGCAGCGGCCGGTGCTGTGCTGATCCGAAGCCGGGAGCTAAGAGCTCTTTCCACGTCTCCCACACAGGTGCAGGGTCCCAAGGTTTTGGGCCATCCTCGCCTGCTTTCCCAGGCCACAGGCAGGGAGCTGGATGGGAAGCAGGGCCACCGGGATTAGAACTGGCGCCCATATGGGATCCTGGCGCATTCAAGGCAAGGACTTTAGCAGCTAGGTCATGGTGTCTGGCCTGAGCATTCACTTTTAAAAACAAATTTTCCAATGAGAGGTAGTTAAGAAGAGAGACAGAGATGACAAAGACACAGATAGTCCCTGTTTGCTGGTTCACTTCTCTGGTGCTCACAGTGACTGGGACTGAGCCAGGACTGAAGCTGGATCCGGAAATATGTCCAGATCTCCCATGTGGATGGCAGGAACCCAGTTAAACTATCAACCATGCAACTGAGCCGATCCACAGCCTGGAGCCCGGAGGTCTCCACGGGTCTCCCACGTGGGTGCAGGGTCCCAACGCTTTGGGCCATCCTCTTCTGCTTTCCCAGGCCACAAGCAGGGAGCTGGATGGGAAGCGGGGCTGCCAGGACATGAACTGGCACTCATAAGTGATCCTGGTGTGTGCAAGGCAAGGACTTTAGCCTCTAGGGCCCACAATGGTAGTAATTTTTAAAAGTCACAGTTATTTGAGGTTTGGTTATTTGGAATATGGAAAAAAAATTGTGTTCCAGCAGTTCTAAATATTTCTAAAGCAGCAGTTTTTAAACTAAAAGATATCTCTTACTTTTTGAAATTTGGATTCTTTGAGCAACTGATACTTTACATAATTATGATTAAAATAGAAGTGCTCCTTGGAGAACAAAATCATAAACTAGTACAGATTTGTTTATTCTGCTGTTTATGGTGATGGTAATAATAATAATAATGGCAAATAATATGTGCTTATTGAACACTTGAGATTCAGGTGTGAATAAACAGTGTTCAGTCCTCGTAAGACAAAGACAAACGAGAACCTCCTGGATGATGTGCTCTGTCAGGCCGTGGTCCATGCATGAGGAGTGTGCAGCTTGAAAGTTGAAAAGTAGTCTTCCTAAGAATATGTTGTTAACCTGCACAGGTAGTATGTTTTTGCTATAAAAAGTTCAAACAGAGTAGAAGCATATAGGATAAAGATAGAAAGTTCCTGTTGGCCCGCCTACCAGCCCACTCCCTTCCTCTGGAGATGAAATTTTTTGGGGTTTATCCACGTAATGTTTTCCATGTTACTAAAACTTAAAAAGAGTTGTGAGTTTTTAAAACATAAATAGGATGCAAGCCTTGTTTTTTGTTTATCTCTTGGGACTCTTTATAATTAATGCGAGTACTTGTTAGTCTGGCTCTTTAATGCATAACATTCTATAGCATGACCCGGTTTCAATCACTAGAATTTATATCATTTCTAGTCTTCTCATATAAATAATGTTTTTGCTCTTTTTTAGAACTCTGGCATTTCTTTCTTCTTTTTCTAAGATTTCTTTTTATTGGAAATGCAGATTTGCAGAAAGACAGAGAAAGGTCTTCCATCCAATGGCTCACTCTCCCAGTAGCCACAATGGCCAGAGCTGAGCCAATCCAAAGCTGGAAGCAGGAGCTTCTTCTCTATCTTCCACATGGGTGCAGGCTCCCAAGGCCTTGGGCCATCCTCCACTGCTTTTCCAGGCCACAGGCAGAGATCTGGATGGGAAGTGGAGCAGCCGGGACTCGAACTGGCGTGTATGTGGGATTGTGGCACTTGCAAGGGGAGGATTAGCTATTTGAGCCATTGCACTGAGCCTTGTGACATTTCTTCTTCTTCTTCTTCTTTTTTTTTTTTAAGATTTATTTATTTATTTGAAAGTCAGATATACAGAGAGGAGGAGAGACAGGGAAGAAGATCTTCTGTCCAATGATTCACTCCCCAAGTGAGTGCAATGGCCGATGCTATGCCCATCCGAAGCCAGGAGCCAGGAACTTCTTCCAGGTCTCCCACATGGGTGCAGGGTCCCAAAGCTTTGGGCCGTCTTTGACTACTTTCCCAGGCCACAAGCAGGGAGCTGGAAGGGAAGTGGAGCTGCTGGGATTAGAACCGGCGCCCATATGGGATCCCAAGGCGTTCAAGGAGAGGACTTTAGCCGCTAGGCCATGCCGCTGGGCCCTTCTGACATTTCTTAATTTGAGGATAATCCTTAGCTAAGTTTGGTATGTCATAGGTCTCAATATTAAAAGTCTATTTTTCTTAAGTGGCACATTTCTTTTGGTAACTTACTTATTACACATAGTAAAATATAATAAATCAGAATCTATTAACAAAATGAAAAGAAAGAATAAAACTTTCAAATTACTTCTAATTCTATGCACCAGGATAAACATTGTTAATCTGATACTTGTTCTTTTAGACTGCTTAAATAGTCGCTGGCTCTTTTAAAGATATTTGTGGATTACTACTTTGCATATAATAAAATATTTGCAAATGATAAATTGAGTTTTCCATACCTCCTCTGTCATTAAGCGGGTTGTGCTGCCATTTGTGTTTGGTTGGTGTGATTCTTGGTGGGCATCTGGGCACTCTGCCAGAGGACAGGTCAGCGGCATCCTGCTGACCATCTTCTGGGTTTGCAGCACCGTGAGAGGCACTCATGCTTCACAGGGGCTCTTGTCGGGCTCTGGATTTACACAGTTTGAATGCACACTGCACATTTTTATTTATAGACCAAGCTCATTAGTCTTTCATGCTGTGTCTGACTGCCTTTGGAATGCATTTGCATGTTTTCAATTTCTGAGGAAGTTCAAAACTCTGCCACTGCATGTTTAAATTGCTGGTTAAAATATCATTTGTCTTTTTGCCTCAGTGTTAAACAAGATATTGTGAGATCTTTAACTTTGCAGTGCATGTTAAAATATTATTATGTTGGTTAATACAAGTCATGAATAATTATATCTCATGTCTAAATAGCTTAAGAATCCCTGCAATCTAAATATATTTGAAGGGCCCAGTGCTGTAGCCTAGTGGCTAAGTCTTTCCCTTGCTTGTGCTGGGATCCTATGGGGGCACTGGTTCGGGTCCCGGCTGCTCCACTTTCCATCCAGATCTCTGTTTGTGGCCCGGGAAAACAGTTGAGGATAGCCCAAAGCCTTGGGTCTCTGTGCCCGAATAGGAGACCCAGAAGAAACTTCTGGCTCCTGGCTTTGGATCAGCTCAGCATCGGCCATTGCAGCCACTTGGGGAGTGAACCAACAGATGGAAGATCTTCCTGTCTGTATGTCTTTCTCTCTGGAAATCTGACTTTTCAATAAAATAAAATAAATCTTAAAGTTAACTTACAAAGTTATAAAAAAAAGTTATAGAAACCAAATATTTTTGTCAGCTGCTTTAAGTAATCTAAAGTAATATTTATGTTTATGTGCAAATATTAAAGTTATTCTCAAATGAAATTTCCATTTTGCAATGGATTCTTGTTTATAAACAGTTTGGCTTATTGTCAGTTGGTCAGTTTACTTTTTATTTCATTTTGTGTGTGTGTGTGTGTTGTGTGTTAAAAGTATTCTTGGAAAAGGCCAGAGAATAGGTAGTTGTATTTTGAATTATCTTCTTATTGATTCCCATTTTAATTTAAAAAATGAATTTCGTTGAAAAAATTTAGGTGGCAATTGACAGTCTTAAAGAAAGTGGTAAATCTTTTTCTGAGTAAAGTCTATAGATAGTTAAATCTTAGAACTTAGACATTGAGTGGCATGAACTCTTCCTAAGGTGCAGGTAAACTCAGATGAATCAGTTTGTTCCTTTTCATTAGAAATTTTCACTGTCTTTAAGGCTTTAACCTATTTTATTCTGGAAGTAGTAATTTTTTTCTGTTGCCAGAAATATGTGAAAGCCAATAAAAATTTTTTTAAAATTGAGAGGGAATATAAAATGTTCAGTTATTTGATTTTAAAAATTGAGATGGGAAATAGAGAAAGTAGGAGGGCACAGCCTGCCACCCTGTCCCCAAATCTCTTAGGTGCGTAGGATCATGGCCTGTGGGAGGCAGACCATTTTTATACTTTATCCAAGCTTTTCAAGGTCTGATAAATTTCATATTTCTTTTGTTAAAATATCTTTTTGTAAATATTTCTTTTGTTGAAAGGTTTATTTGTTTAAAAGCAGAGTGACAGGAGGAGATCAAGAGAGATCTTCCATCCACTGCTTACGGGCCACAATGACCAGAATAGCGCTGATCTGAAGCCAGGATGTGGGAATGGCTTCAGGTCTTCTAGATGGGTGCAGGAACTCAAGAATTTGGTCCGTCTGTGCCTTCCCCAAGTGCCTCGGCAGGGAGCTGGATCAGAAGAGAAGCAGCCAGCACTCGGACTAGAGCCCTAATAGGAGATGCTGGTGCTGCAGCTACTGATGAGCCACAGTGCTGACCCCTGTAGATGTTTTTCTTCTTTTTTGTTTAAAAATAGATATTTATTAATGCCAATAAACAATTATTGAAGTACAGATTCACTTGATGTCTTTTTACATCAACGTTTCTATCTTAATTTTCTATGGTAACTCCTATGTGATGGTTGCCTAGGTAAGAAATTTTCTTGAATAAACAGTGCCATTGTCTTAGATCTCCTAGGCCTTTCCTGTTGGAGACTGTAAAACACTGCCCCTGCCTTCTGGAGGCATGAGCATGTCTAGCCCACCTTGGGCTGCAGGACTTGCCACAGTCTGAAGTGACAGTGATTTGAATGCAACTTTCTCAGTTCTGTTTTAAGCAAGTAAACTTTTTTTTTTCCCAAAGATATATTTATTTTTTTAATTGCGAAGTCAAATATATAGATAGGAGGAGAGACAGAGAGGAAGATCTTCCATCCGATGATTCACTCCCCAAGTGACTACAACGGCTGGAGCTGTATTGATCCAAAGCCAGGAGCCAGGAGCTCTTCCAGGTCTCCCACATGGATGCAGGGTCCCAAAGCTTTGGGCCGTCCTCGACTGCTTTCCCAGGCCACAAGCAGGGAACTGAATGGGAAGTGAGGCTGCCGGGATTAGAACCGGCGCCTATATGGAATTCTAGAGTGTTCAAGGCAAGGACTGTAGCTACTAGGCCACTGCACTGGGCCCAAATAAATGTGAAAATTCAAGAAGTAACTTATTTTGTTTTTAAAGCAATCTTAAACAGTTTAAACATTGGTAATTTCTGAGTCCCAGGAAGTATAATCAACTTTCCACAATGATAATTGTGTATCCTGTTAATAACTGGACAAAGTTTGTACCACCTTGATAGTTGCAAGATTTAGATATAAAATTGGGATCTTAAGTGGTGTTTTTAAACACAGCATTTGATCAGTAAATGACTAGCTGCAGAGGAAAAGGCAACCAGTTATGATTTCATGTGCAAAAAAGCAGTGTTTTTTGATACTCTATTTTAAAAACTACATATATATTTTTAAATTGCTGAATGTGCTTGTGTTTCAGTGCTGTAAAGTAAGATGTCTTTTTGTTTTTTTAAGATCTTTCCATTTGAAAAGGAAGCTTCCATTGGTGATAATAAGCAAATAATTAAAGTGGAAAAATTCACCTTTTGAGATTACAATAAGTGTGTATAGAATTTTCAAGCTTAAACTTAGTAGTAGCCAAACTACTGTGATATAAAATCCAGTATTTTTTTCCAGAAAAATAATTATTCTCTGGGGCTTTTCTTTACCTAGATATAATTTTTTTATCATCTTATATCCTATCGGAGTTGCTGGTGAACTTCTTACAATATATGCTGCCTTGCCATATGTGAAGAAAACAGGAATGTATTCAATACGACTTCCCAACAAATACAATGTCTCTTTTGACTACTACTATTTTCTTCTTATAACCATGGCTTCATATATACCACGTATGTATATGTTTTCATTAGTAGTTTGACTTAGCATATGATGTGAAAGTTTTTGAATGCATGTTAAGGAGAGATAATCAGAAATACTTGATTATAAACATGTTAAAGCTTTTATATTAATTCCCAAATTTATTAATCATATGCCAAAGGGAAATGAGTCATAAGACATTACTGGTGATGATAAAAATGGTAATTTAATTGATATGCAAGTGATTGCTTTCTCAAAATCATTTAGAAGTATGCTCACTATGGTTTATTTTTAAATATATACATCAAGGAGCTATTCACAAGCATTTAGAAGTCTGTATCTAAATACAAACGTTCATCTAAATATAAACTTTTAACCCCTTCACTAGTTAATCATCATGTCTTGGTGGTTGTGGTGAATTAAGAGGCTTTAGTCACTTCATGGAAGCATTAATTAATGATGGATTTTTAGGTCAAATTTGGATAGTCACTGTCATGAAATATGACCCTTCTTGATAAAATTACCTAGCCTTCTCAATAAAATCATAGGCCAGTGTTAGCAGAGTAAGGAAAGAAATGAGAAAGTTGATGGAATTTGAAGTCTATATTGACACAGTGTGAATATTTCATTCAAGGGAAATGAATATAAAACTGGGCCAGGTTCAGGCCTCGGCGTCCCCTCTTTGTGACCTCATGTCCTCTGAAGCGTCTGCACGGAAGCCCGGGGCCCAAGAGATGCAGGTCAGAAGCTTCACCCCAGCAGCCTTTGGTTACGCTGGTATCTGGCCTATGCCAGCAACAGCTTCTCAGCTGAGCAGGGTGATAGTTTCTGAGAGTCCCACTTGCCAGCCAGGGGGTACATCTCCACCCTGTGGTTGATTCTAGTGGTAGTGTCAACTGACAGCACTTGGCTTCTAAGTGCTTTGCTATTTTAAAGCTCTCTTATTTTCATACTCATAAGATGTGACATTATTTCTTATTTGTCAGAGTATTCCAGATAAGATAGAGTAAGTGTTTTGCTTGAAAATCACGTTCCTGGTAAAATAAGCCGGGATCTGAACTCAAGCATCAGATTTTAAAGAAATATTTAGAGTGATTCAGTTAGTTTTAAGTATACATAAACTGAACCTTATTTAGGCCTCTAGAAATAACTGATGGTTACATTTATCAAAAGGAGAAATACCTAAATAAAAAAAACCCTCAAAACTCAATTTGTGCATTTTTGTTTTGTTTTGTTTGAGCTGAGTTCTAAAACTTTGTTTTTCCAGAGATGTTTACACAAAATGCTCAAATCTCAGTTTGAGTTTTGGTTTAGTGGTTTGTATGCTATGTTCACAGATATTTCTACATTTGTACTGTTTGTAGTTAATATGTATACTCATCAGCATTTATACTGAGATTAGAGCATTGGTTTGTCTCAGAATATTCTGTGCATCTGACTGGACAAATTACTATTTGTTCAGCTGACCTAATCATTATCCTTGTAGGTATTTGTATATAAGACTAACTTTCCTCATGCCAGCCATGAAGATTTTGATTTATGCCTGTTCACAGGGCCCCATTGTGGCCCTTCCCCAGGCACCCTCCCATCCAGCACCTACTGGATCACATTCTCAAGTGGAAGGCCATGGCATCTGCTGCCCAGTGGTGGTGGGCGTGTATCTAGGTCTGTATAGGTCTCTGTCCCAGAGGCTTGCTGTGGTGACCAGTGTGTGCACCCCTGATGTCACAGCTTAGCTAGAAGGCAGCTGTCTGTGAGGGTGTGGAGGAAGCTTGGATGTGAGCAAGCCTGAGACCCCTCATGATACAGGAGACAGCCAGTAGAGCAGAGAGAAAGGCCGTGCAAGCCAGCTTTCCTTGATGGAATCTTCTGGTATGTAATTCCAGAGAGTTGCAGAATTCTAATTCAAGCATGGCATTTTTCAGGTCATTTTGAAGGTCTGATCATCAAGACATTTAAGTGTGCTGAAAAACCAAACCCTAACATTTCATAGCGTTAAGATACTTGGACACGAGGTCCATCGGCCTGTGTTAATACTCTTTGGTCTTTCCCTGAGCTCTGCATGTTAAGTGGTAGCCAAATAGGTTTTCAAACGTGACTGCCTGCAATGACTTTCACATACAAGCTTGTCATTTTTTGTTTTTCTTTTTTTCTTTTCTTCCCAATGAAGTGTTTCCACAACTCTACTTTCATATGTTACGACAAAGAAGAAAGGTGCTTCATGGAGAGGTGATTGTAGAAAAGGATGATTAAGATCCCTACAAACAAGGTGCTTTTTTCCAGACTAACCAGGATTACTTGAGTCCAAGTTTTAATCGCAAGAATAAAGAACTTCATAAAGTACCATGGATTGTATTGTTTCTTACAACATCACTTGAGACACGTGGTATTTGCTGACATTTGTCTTCATATTGTGCCAGATTTTTTTTTTACAAGAATTATACAGATATCGCCTCCTAGGTTGGTGTTGATGACTAATTGAGAGGATTACCTGGGGAAAAAGTTGTTATTTTCACTAGATGTTTGTGCAGCGCAGTTTTTTCAAAGCTTTTTAAATCAATATTTAGAAATTACCTTTGTGATTTTACATTATGACACCTGCCAGTGATATTTATGTAGTATGTAGGAATGAAAGTAAATGATAATCGTTGATTAATGTATTAGTGCATTTTGAGCTCACAGTCTAATTTTTTTTTCAAATTGTGAGGCAATATTTATAATTAATAACAATCTTGAGAATTTGGATACAATTTATTATGGACTTTTGATGTGGCTAAATAGTATCGTAAGAGACCATATCTACTCACACTGAGAAAATATTTTTGGAAAATATTTCTAGGCCACTGAAATTCTTTAATACCTTTAAGCATGTTTATTTTTATTTGAATTAACCTCAGGCCATTTTCAACTATAAAGATTTTAACGTGTTAGAAAAAATACAAGTGTGTATATTTTGTCCACCTGGGACAAAGAATAATAGCATGACGTGGAATCATTGTGTTGTACGTAGAACTCTGGATGCAGATCTCTGCCGTATCCCATGGTATTGTGAAGATCACATTTCCCTTGTGGTACTTAGCAAACTGAGTGTTTTGGGATATGATCAAAAATAGACTCATTTTGTTCTTAATCCCATTGAGTAGCACAAAGCCTTGTGAGTGAGCCTCTGTCCTCGTACACGGATGGTGCCTGAATACTGCTGTACCTGAGTGGGTCCTTTAAGGCCGTCCCTACCTCTCCTGAAGTGTGCTGTTACGCTGGACTCGTTTGGAGAGAAGAGTAAATGTGTGACTTTAAAAGGAAAAGATTTTTTTTTTTGGCTTACCAAATAGATATCTGGGCATAATTTTGGCTTTGATTGTTCTGAATTGTTTACAATTAACATATAATGTTACACTTCTTAAAACTGAGTTTTGCATTACCAGTGTTACCATTTCTTCTACCAATTTGTTTTCATGTGGAGATTTATAGCTCAAAATAATTCTGTGTGAAACTTTTGTTTTAAATGACTCAGTTTTTTAAAGGTGCTACTTTTTTTTTGTTATATTGCATCTTAATGTTTCCTCTTCAGCTAACTCTTAATGAACAATATCTATTAGATATTAGATTACTAATCCTCAAAGTGCCAATCTTCATTCTGCTCTTACATGATTTGGTCTTATCATCTTGAATATTTTTTATGGAAGAGATTTTCAGGGCATCTGGTGATATAGTATAATAAATTGACATACTTATCTTTATTAAATGGCTGTCTTACAAAAAACTATTTTAAATAATTCCTAAAGTTTGCATCAGTTCAACTTGTATTCCTTCTAACAGCAGTGATATTCTTTTTCCCTCAAATTGTGGAATGTCTTCAAGTAGGGATTGTCATTAACCTTAATAAAAATGAAAACATATTAAAGTCTGGTGAACTATACTATTAATATACTCAAACTATGTCTTAACTTTATCTTCAGTATCTTCTTTATTTAATCAATTCAAACCATCATTTGCATAACAAATAAGATGAAATGGTAGTTCAGTTTTTTTTTAAGACTTATTTATTTTCATTGGAAAGGCAGATCAGATTTACGGAGAGGAGGAGAGACAGAAAGCTCTTCCTTCCATCAGCTGGTCCACTCCCAACATGGCTGCGGTAGCCGTTGCTGAATCGATCTGAAGCCAGGTGCCAGGACCTTCTTCTGGGTCTCCCATGCAGTTGCAGGGTCTGAAGGCATTGGTCCATCCTCCACTGCTTTCCCAGGCCATAAGCCGGGAGCTGGATGGGAAGTGGAGCTGCCAGAACATGAACCAGCACCCATAGGGGATCTCAGCACTTGCAAGGTGAGGATTTAGCCATTGTGCCAGACCTATCGTAGTTTGGCTTTAAAAATGTGTTTGAAATTGCATTGCTTATTTGTTTTTTGTGAGTGCCTCTGCTTTTTAATTTCTTGCAGTTTCACTGTTACCTTCATTAGAAGTGGTTTTACTAAAATAGAACTTGACTTCAATCATGTAGATTTTGGCATTAAAAAAAACTTTTACGATGAAATCTTGCAATTGTATTTGGTGACACTTCTTTTAAGAACATTTTTAAAGATTTATTTATTTTTATTGTAAAGTCAGATATACAGAGAGGAGGAGAGACAGAGAGGAAGATCTTCCTTCTGATGATTCACTCCCCAAGAGACTGCAATGGCTGGAGCTACACTGATCCGAAGCCAGGAGTCAGGAGCCTCCTCCAGGAGCTCTTGTGGGTCTCCCACATGAGTGCAGGGTCCCAAGGCTTTGGGCCATCCTCAACTGCTTTCCCAGGGAAAGCAGGATGGGAAGCAGGGCTGCTGGGATTAGAACTGGCACCCTTATGGGATCCTGGCACGTTCAAGGCGACTTCAGCTGCTAGGCTACCTCACCAATCCCAACACTTCTTAAAAATTCTGGTAATTTTCTGTATTTTATAGCTTCATAACTTGATATAATATACAATTACATGCTTAATTTTTCATTTCTTAGCTAAAGGTTTTAGATACTTGAGTTTTTAGATTTTCAAGTATCTAATTATAATGCTGCCATCTCATGGTCTGTTGCAAGTGTTAGAGAATCTGGGAGTATTTTTTTCCTCCCAGAAATAATTTGTTTCGTGCCTAACATGTGCCTAGTGCTGTGGCAGGGAGGTAATATCTTCTTCCTGTCTTCTTCCCAGCCTCCACGGTAGACCACTTTAGAGTGGTTAGTAAGTCATGTTCAAAATAATACAGTGCATGGATAATCTGCTGGGTTGAATTTCTTTGTTATATATGTACAGGTTTATGAGAATTCCAATCAAAGTGTAACACTCTGGCTTGAAACTAGTTGAAAACAAGCTCAAAATCAATTCTAGATTGTGAGATCAGTAAAACACTAACGGATGATTGAAGGAAAAAACAACTCAAAAGCAATATTAAAGAATTCCCAAATGAATATGCCATATAGTTTTCCTTTCACAAACATGTAGATGTGGATTATACATACAATTAATAGAGTAAGAAAAACAATGATTCTAGTTTCTAGTAACGCTTCAATACAGGATGCCGGTGTTCCAATAGCATCTTAACTGCCACCCCAAACACCTGCCCCCTTGTTGTAACATTAAGAAATATTCAATTTTTGTTTTGAAAAAATTTTACTTGCAGAAAAGTTGCAAGAATAAAAGGGGTTCCACATAGCCTTTATTTGAAATATCTCTACTTAATATTCTGCCATACTTGCTATAGTATTTATCTGTGAACCGTTGTAGAATAAGTTTTAAGAAATACTCATCTTCATTTCTTCAGTATATATTTCCCAAGAACAACCACATTACCTTACATTGTAAAAATCAATAGAATTGCAGTGATGTAAATTAAAAACCAACATGATATAATACCTTTTTCTAGTCCACAAACCTTATTCCAATCTCATTGATGCAGATGTCTGCATGTGCCTATGTGATCGTACTTGTAAAAATTCATGGAAATTAGGATTAAAGGTATAAGAATTTTAGTGCAAGAAGTTTTTGAAATCCGTATGTAGTTTTTATAATACACATTAATATGTGATACAGAAATATATATATTTTTTGCACTCAAACTTTTACTTCTATTTTCCATGAATTTTAGGTTTTACTTTTATTGATTTGAAAGGCAGAGTAACACAAAGGGGCAGAGAAAGGGGAAAAGAAAGATACTTTTCTTCTGTTAGTTCACTCCACAGTGGCCAGGGTTGGGCCAAGCCAAAACTAGAAGTCTGGAACTCCACCTGAGCCCCCTGCATGATGTCATCTCCCACTGCTTTTCCAGGCGTGTGATCAGGGAGCTGGTTGGAGAAGTAGAGCAAGCAGAACACCATCCAGTGCACATTGAGGATGCTGGGATCTCAGGTAGCAGCAGCTCAGCTGCTGTGCTGCAACACTGGCCACACAACAAACTTTTGAAAATACACTTGTGTATTCTGAATCAAAATTAAGTCCAGGTTTAGGAATTATATTTAGCTGTCTTTCAGTCTAGAACTATTCCTTAATTTTTCTTCATGTATCTTGACGGACTTTTCTTTAGCAGTGTAGAAGAGCTGTTTTATAGAAAGTCCCTTAATCTGGGTTTGTTTGATGTTTCTTTGTGATTAAATTTAATTTTATTATGTACCTTTGGGCAGACTATTGATTTGTTGCAATTTCTGGTAATACTAACTTTGATGTGTCAGGAATTTTGCTTTTTAATATTATGGTTGCAGAGCAGATGCAGGTATTTTAATAATAAATGGCTTTTTGTTTTAATTCATAGGAGTTTGTGAAATGAGGCGTTGGGAAGTTTTTCTTACTAGATCAATTAACCTGTGCTCTCACACATGAAGATTGATTTCTTTGTAAGTACTTAAAAAAAGTACTGAATTCTTAATATATAATGCAGTTTCCAGGCAAATTATTAACTTTTTAACAAAAAAAATATTGATTTTTTTGCCTCTAGGTTGTACTCTATAAAACTTTATGAATGTACTTTGATTTGGCTTAAAAAGCCTTACAGCATTCTGGTCTACTGTATCATATACTCCTGCCATGTTATTCTCTGCTAAAATTATACATAGGTGCAAGATTGAGATTGCTATGAAAATACATTTTATTCCTTGATTTGTAACATTTTTTTCATAAACATATATGTTTATTTGAGAAGTAGATTTACAGAAAGGAAAAACACAGAAAGAGAGAGAAAGAAAGAGAGAGCTTCTGTCTGTTGGTTTATACCCCAAATAGCCAAAGAGACCAGAGCTGGGCTTGTCCAAAGCCGGGAACCTAGAACTTCCTCTGGCTCTCTCAGCATGTGTGCAGGAGCCCAAGGACTTGGGCCATTATCCATTGCCTGCTCAAGCACATTAGCAGGGAGCTGAATTGGAAGTAGGTCAAACAAGGGCTTATACAGGATGTTGGCACTACAGGCGGAGACGTAACACACTATGTCATGGTACTGGCCCCTGAAACGCATCTTGTTCAGCTTAAAAAGTAAAAATTTTTTCTTGAATCCATCTTACGCTGCGTGACTTAACTTTGAGGGCAGTGACTGTAGAGTAGTGGTATTTAAGGGAGGGCTTTGTGGCTTGGTTGTTAACTTGGCAGTTTAGACACCCACGTCCTATATTGGAGTGTCTTGTTTCAAGTCCTGCCTACTGAGTTTCTGAGTCTACTTCCTGCTGATGCACACCTCGGAAGGCAGCAGACAAGTACTTGGGCCCCTGCTACCTACATGAGAGATCGAAATTGATTTCCAGGATCCTGAGTCTTGCACCTGGCCCAGCCCTGACTGCTGTCAGGCACTCGGAGAGTGAACCAATAGGTGAGACATCTCATCTCTTTGCCTTTCAAATAAAGAATGAAAAAAACAAAAGCTACTTAATCCCTCCGGAGATTTTGTATCCATGTTCATGGGCTGAGAAGTCTGCAGCTTCAGCCCAGTGCTAGTTCTGTTGTAGGCAAGTGAGGTGTCTCCCCAGCCTTTGAGAAACACTGCGATATGTGATAAACAGCCAGGGCAGGGATCCGGGCAGTGCGAGGGAGAAATTCCTGCACATGACTTCCAGTGTACCTGGTGGGACTGAGATAAAAATTCGCAGCATTCCTACAGTCATTCTTCAGTGCTGTTATCAAAATCAG